CACATCCAATCAAACCACATGGGTTCTATTTTCAAGGTAAGTCCAGTTCTCACCATAAAAACTACCTTTGTTCAAGCCACCCATTTCTGTCTCTGGGCTATCTCAATGGCCTCCTGAATTTTCCTACCAATGCCTCTTCTAAGTCAGAGTGATTCTATAAACACACAGCAGATCAGGTCACTCCTGTTCCCCAAAGTTTCCAAAAGGTCCCCATTTCTTTCAAAGGAAAAGCCAGCGTCCCCATCACAGCCTATGAGGTCCTGTTCTCTCTGCACCTGTGTTCGCTGGGCCTTGTCTCCTACTCTCATTCCTCGCCACCTCCTGACCTTCTCGCTACTCCTTGAACAGTCTAGCACAGTCCACCTTGAGGTCTTTGTACTGCCTGTTGCCTGTCTCCCCAAACATTCCAATGGCATTCCCCTCATTTCCTTCAATTCCTTGTTCAAGCATTATTACCCTCTTCAGAGGGACTCCCCTGCCCACACCATCTACTTTGCCTTCCTGTCTGAAGAGGTGTTCCCAAATCCTTTCTATCCTCCTTTTTTTTCTTTCTTTTTTTTTTTTTTAATTTGCCTTCTAGCAAATTTTGAGAGGGATTTTTTCCATAGGGTATGCTTGCAAAACAGAGAGACAGATAGAGACAGAAAGTACAAAATATCCCCCCAGGGGAATGGCCATACTGCAATCCCTTCTCCTCCATTCATCTCTTGGGATTTGGGGCACACATGCTCATGCACCCAGCATGAGTCTTAAGCCACTGCATCTGGGACTCGAACCGTGTTCTACTACATGGGCGCCCAGCAACAGCCATTACACCATCTGCTGGTCCCTACTCTTCTCTTTTTATATGTATTTCTGCATATTTTTCCATAACACTATCTTCTAACATTATTTACTTATTTATTACATCTGGTTTCCATTGTTTGTCATTATCTACCTCTACATTAAAATGTAAACCCACTAGGAGAATTTTTATCTGATTGTTTTTCACAGAGCTATTACAAACACCTATTACAGTGTCTGACATAGAGCAGTGCTCCAAAAGAGATTACCACAAATGCAAAGGAGAGGAGTATGGCCGACAACACATGCTGCCCATTCAGAGTTCAACAAAAAGGAAAAGAACAGGTTTCTTTTGATTTGGTCAGTAGGTCTTTGCTACCAAGAGAGGTAGCAGAGCATAATGCTGAAAAGTCGACGTGAACGACTTTGAATCCTGGCTTTTTAGCTATCCTTTTAGTTATCTACAATAGATTCTTTCAGTTTCCTCATCTAAAAATGGGGTTAACAACAGAACCTACCTTAAAGTGTTACATGAACTGAATAAGTTAATTATAAAAAGTACTAAAACAGCAAAACATAGAAAAATATATAGGAAATGTTATACATTCAAGGGAACCGGTTTCAAAAAGTTCATGGTGATTATGGCAGCTGAATCCCACATGGCTGACTATGTGGTTTGAGGATTAGATCCAGTGGCTTGGAAAACTTGCACTGCGTGCACATGCATGTCCAAAACTCCAAGAAGAGAATGGAGAAAAAGGGATTGAGGAATGGTCATCCCCCCCTAGGGGGTGCTTTCTCACTCTCTCCCTCATTCTTTCTCTTCAACCCTTCTCTCTCCCCAGCAAGCACACATGCCTTCTAGCAAATTTTAAAAAGAAAAGAAAAAATAGTTCACAGAAAATGGAATTAAAGTACAGGTTTATTTTGGTGCAAGAAAATTTGGTACCACATACTGATGTTTGGGTCAAGAGTGGACTATATGCAATGGTGATCCCAAAGGATCATAACGCAGCTGAAGGAGTCCTATCTCCTAGTGAAGTAGTAGCTGTCCTAGCATAATACATTCTTCATGTGTTTGTGCTGACGCTGATTTAAACAAACTTACTACACTTCTAGTCTTATAAGGGGACACATATAAAAGCACATACAATTACATATTGTATAGTACATAATACTTGGCCACGGTAAAATTGACTGTTACTGGTTTAGAGTTTACTATATTATTATGTTTTCATTCTTGAGTGTTCTCCTACTTACTAAAAAATAAAAGTTTACTGTAAAACAGTATGCCATGTTACAATGCTAACAGCCTCAGACATTCATGTTTACTGTGTCTTCCTCCCCTGCTGTGTCTCACTGTCACTGTCCTCCTATCTCAGCCTCCTGGGCAGCCAGGACTACAGTCACACAACACCACACCCAGCTGTTTCAAACAGGATCTGGCTATGTTGCCCACACTGGCTGTGAACTCAGAATCTTCCTGAGTAGGTGGAATTACAGGCATGCGCCATCATGCCTGGCTTTTTAAGGTGGGCAGAAATCAAACCTGGGCATCCTGGGGGCCTCAGTTTACCAAGCAACAGCATCTGACAGCAAGTGCTACTGTGGCCCAGCTACCGTGTCTTGATTGAATCATGTCACTTGTGTTTGATTTAGTCTCATATCTTGTTCATCATGGCTCTTCCAGGACAAGAAGTAGGGGTAAAAGACAGTGATACTGATTGTCCTGACCTCTGTAGGCCTAGGCTAATGTGTGTGTTCATGCCTTCATTTTTAACTAAAAAGTTTTAAAAGTAAGAAAATTAAAATAGAAAACAGTTTATGGAATAAGGACATAAAGAAAATACTTTTGTACAAAACTAAAATGTGTTCATGTTTTATGCTAAATGCTATTACAAAAGAGTCAAAGAGTCTTGTTTTGTTTTAGCTTTTAATTTGCTAGAGGGTACGTGCACTAGCCACAGAGAAATAGAAGAAAAGTGAGACAGCACCCCCAGGGGGATGATCACATTGCAATCCCTTCTCCTCCATTTCTCCTTTCAGAATTTTGGGTATGTGCACACATGTGCCTGGTGTGGTTTCCAACCCCCTGGGTCCAGGACTTAAACCACATGGATTGGCCATGTGGGATCTAGCTGCATTAACAACCACACCACAGCTGGCAACCCCAAAAGTTTTTAACAATTTAAAAGTTTATAAAGTAAATAGTTATCATAAGCTAAGACTAATTTGTTATTGAAAAAAATTATTTTATAAATTTAGTGTAGCTCTAAGTATAGAGCATTTATAAAGTCTAGAGTGATGTACAGCAACGTCCTAGGCTTTCACATTCACTCACCACTCACTCACCCTAAGCAATGTCCTAAAGTCCCATTCATTGTAAGTGCCCTATACAGCTGTGCCATCTTTTATATCATATTTTTACTGTATATTTTCTATTTTTAGACATGTCTATATACACAAATACTTACATTGTGTTAGAATTACCCACAGTATTCAGCACAGTAACATGCCACACAAGTGTAGCCTAAGAGTGACAGACTATCCCATATGATCCAGGTGTGAAGTAGTTACACCATCTAGGTTTGCATAGTACATCTTAGGTACACTTAAGACGTTCACATGGTTGACTACAGATGCATTTCTCAGATATGTTCCCGTTCCCATTACTTACACATACACA